ATAAATATGTCGAGAAAAAGGAAAAGACTTTTAGATCATTAGATTGTGCATTCATTATACTATTGATTATAATATGTTCGATTTTACATTCCTGACAATTATTACAAAATGCGAGGAGCTACCGTATTGAGAACCCCTTTCCGGTTATCGACAAATTTATGCTCGGGCCCTATCATACCAACAGTTCCGTACGCTCCATCGTAGTCCATGCGCCCCCGCTTCGATTTTTGTTGTTGAACACTTTACATTGGCCCTGTTCATCTCCCCTATAATCTCTGCATTTGCATATAAAAAAAGTGAGGTTATGTCCCTCTCGCGAACCTGAATGTTCCCCTGTCACGTACCTTTAAACAATCTCCTGAAAAATATGAGTAAGTGGTTGAATGAAAAATTGACATTTAAAAACACAATCACTGGACCCCTGATAAAACATGAAAGGATTTATAGAGAGGCAGACAGTGTCGGGGTGTTTCGTTGCTGAAATCTCTAAGCATCAGAAGCCCAAACCCCCCAGGAAAGGAAAATCCATGGAGATGAAATCCTAAAAAAAACCCTCCCAATTCCCAAAAATCAGAACTAAAAAAGCTGGCGAAATCTCCGAAAAATGAAGAGACAGATAACAGATAACTGGCAGGAGACGTACGAGCTCTCCATCGGACGAAATGGGTTGCCACAAAAGTGCTCGGACGAAAAAGCGAGTCTTTCAGATTTTCGATTCCATTTGCTGCTAGATCAGTCAGTTGATCAGTCAAAGAAATAAGGATTAGGTGACATACGCAGCTATGGAGAGACTCCAAAATTATGGGTGTACTCCGTATCTTCTGATCAAGACTCCTGACAATGTTCTTAGGAAATTAATTCATCCTGTTAGTTTTTATGAGATGAAAATTATTCAAACCTTCTGAAAAGTTTGGAAAAGTAATGAGCTATTCGATCATTGTGAATAGTTTTCTGAAACTGTTGGTTTTAAAGGGAAATGTTAAAAAACATTTTTCAAAGACGTGAAATTCTCTCCAAAAAATGTCACTTCATGAATTTTTTTTAAAGCTGTCTTTCATATATTTTGACAAAAGGAATATATCATCCTGTTTGGAAATGTTTTTGTGAACAAGATTTGATCCTAATTTTTTTCTAATTTTTTTCAGCCCGAAGTCCAGTATATCAAGAAAAATCTATAAAGTCGAATTAGCTGAAAACATTCGAGGTTCACTGAGAATTGAAGTTTTTGTAGCCAATAGTTCGGGGGTCCAAGTTTTCACACAAAAGTCACCTGAGAGAATGCCGAGATTGAACCCCGCCTCTCAGGAGCTTCAGAGGGAAACGAAGAGTTTTGGGAATGCCCATGGCTCCAAGAGCTGACAAAAAATGCAGTTATCCACAATGCCCTCCCCATCGGGGGAGAGTAATGATGGTCATAGGATGTAAGTTTTTTTTATAATAATTATATAGTAGATTCTGTCATTGAGCCCATGAAAAGCTTTGCTAGCGTTTGTGTGTTTGCAGTCCGAAGCAAAGTCAAAGATTACAACAAAATCGCCAGAAAAGTTGTCTGCCACCGACTGACGAACTTTTTTTTCGTTATCTAGTCCGTGATATGAGGCTTCATGCCCGTCTGAATAATTTTTTTTTGTAGATTACCGAGGTGTTTTCACTGTGATGAATATTTTCTACATGAGGAGAAATAGCAAAATTTTCATATGATTTTTTTTAGCTCACATTTCGCTCTACAAAAAAAATTCCATGGAATTTTTTTAACTGTCCCCACTCACGAGATATCCACTGACACCGGACCCTCGATGCGTAGTAATTATCCTAGTTTGCCGATTCACTACAAATTTTCAATTGAAAAAAATGCTCAATGGGCACATTATTCGAAATTCCTTGAAGTTTTTTTTCTTTCTCAATTAGAATTTCATAATCATTCAATTTATTACTTTTAAACCTGAATAGACAATGGAGGAAAGGAAATCAAATGAAATGTTGATATTTAAGTATCATCAACAGTGTAGCTAACTGATAATGAGAGGAATATTTTTCTAAATGTGAATGCCGAATGATGCGAAATAAGCAGCCATTAACGAGGCTTTCCGGGTAATAGGAAAGTCTTCAATGACTTCAAAGTCTTCTGCTCACGCTTGCTACAGTTAGTGGGGACGATATTCCAGGATTATTTGAGTAGCTCCAATAGATATTTACGAATTTTCATCGCCATTCTTTGTCGAAAACATTTATAGATGATTAAATTATGTTGATAATCAGTAACTTTAGGAGANTCATCGCCATTCTTTGTCGAAAACATTTATAGATGATTAAATTATATTGATAATCAGTAACTTAAGGAGAACATATAATCGATTTTTCTTTCATTTTTTCGAATTCATCAACCTTCAGAAATATTTGAATTATCTCGATTACGAGTGATTTTAGAACAAAATGTCAGAAGACCTTTTTTATAGAAAATGTAATGACCTCCACAGAATATACTTCGACATTGTCTCTGAACCCTCTAATTTCGAAGATATTCCAAAAAACATGGGATAAAATTGTTTTAATTCCATTTCTTTCCATCAAATCCTCATGAATCTCAACGAAAAATTCTGTATCACCTTACAGAAAAAAAAGCCTCTCCCCAAACTCAAAATTTCACGAAATCATTTGACTTTTCAGCTAAATTGGAGAAGTGGAGTTGGAGTAAAACAAATAACAGCAGAAAAAAAATTGACGGAGGCGCAGTTTAAGCAGGAGAGACCTATGAACAAAATCAAGGGTCAGACCAAAAAGAAACTAACACTAGAAATTAATAGAAAAATCTGTACTTTATTTTGTAAATAAAATCATTTCATATCAAGTGTTCTTTTTCATTATTCATTCAACATTAATATTTTACGCTACGAATCAATAATTATTTGTTAAATCTCGAGTAGAACAGCATGATTGATAAACGATATTCGAAAATTATGGATCATGCATCGACTTTCAGAAGAGAAGTGGTGGGAAGTGATAGAACATTAAGAATTTTTTTTATCCTGTTCAGTGTCCCAATTATTTTGAGTGTTATCAGGGGAAAAGAGCAAAAGATTTTTTCTGGGACCCTGTCCACATTGAGGATGCTCAAGGAGACAAATCTCCTAAACGAAACCAACCAGCAGGTAATTGATCTCCGTCCAGCGATCCTTAGGGGGGCCACTCCACCAGTTGCGTCCTTATTCCCTCTGGTGTCTTCGCCTGT